CTTGATTAGAGTAGGTATATACAAGTAAAGTTTTGATAAAAAGTTGACGCACCGAAAGTAATTGAGTGTTTTTGAATAATACATTTGTAGGGAAACGCCTGTTGAATTGAAAAGCTATTTTAATAATTAGTTTTTGTATGACAAACAGAGGCTTTAAAATATTGCTACTAGCTCCTCCCCATACTATAATTCCATATTGAAGTACTGATTGGACAAATGCATAGTATAACTTTTTTATTTCATTAATGTTAAGAATTTCGCGAACGTTTCTAAAAACATAAATTAATTTCCTAAGTTTTGTCTTTAAATATTCAATATGGGGTTCCCATCTTAACCTACTATCCAATATCACTCCCAAGTACTTGTAATGATCTACTCTCTCTAAATGTAAACAACCACAGGTAGAGACACCTGGATCTCCACAAACATGCATCACAAGTCTGAGGTTGGTGGGAGGCTCACTACTTTGTCTGAGGAAAATTGGCATATATTTTGTTTTTAAAACATTCATTGATAATACATTTTGGGAGAACCATTTTTGAATAAGGAACATATCTGTTTGTGCTACATTGAATGTTTGGTCCCAAGTATTACCTTTGAATATAACTGCAGTGTCGTCGGCAAATAAAAAGAGCTTTCCTGTGATTGGAAGTTTGTCTAAATTATTTATGTAAATCAAAAAAAGGGATGGTCCCAGCGTACTGCCCTGGACAACTCCATAGTCTATTTCACGTATATCGCTAAAATTGTTGTTAATAGAAACTAACTGGCTTCGTTTATTCAAATAACTACTAAACCATTTTAGGGCCAAACCACGAATTCCGATGCATTCCATTTTATTTAAAAGAATATTTCTATCAATGGAATCAAATGCCTTTGCAAGGTCAATGAACACAGTCAATGCTTTTTCATTTCCGTTAATACACTCCGAAATATATTTATTCATAGCGAAGAGAGCATCACTAGTATTTTTACTCTTCCTAAAACCATACTGGCATTCTGATAACAAATTATTATCTTCCAAATAACAGTGCAATTGTATTTTGACACATTTTTCTAAAATCTTAGACATAACATTCAACAGGGATATTGGGCGATAATTGTTTAACTCTTGCTTTGTGCCAGATTTATACAAAGGAACTACTTTCGCTATCTTAAAACGGTCAGGAAATTGTCCTGAGAGAATGCTTAGATTAACTAGGTGTTTGAGTGGAGGTATCAGTGCCGGAATATTATTTTTTAATAAAATCGCCGAAATTCCATCTATACCAGGAGCAGATCCACCACGCAAATCCCTAATGCACCACTCAAGTTGGCTGTCGGTGACCGGCTCCAGCCGGAACTCATGTCTGACTCTGAACGCTGAATCGTCAACCAGCAGAGGTCCAGCCAGTTGCGGTGTGCGTTGGGCAAGATTCCTACCTACATTTGTAAAAAAGTTATTAAACGAGTTTGCTACTTTTTTTATACCGTCCTTATCAGATTTCTCATAAAAAAGACTTAATGGAAATTTTTCACGAATTTTCTTTATACCACTTATTTCATTTACTATATTCCAAAATTCTTTTGGCCGTCCAGTTGATTAGAGAATTTTTTGCTTGTAATAGGAAATTTTTGCTGACTTGATTTCTCGGTTTAGCCAATTACGATAATTACGGTAGTTGACTTTTAAGTTTTCGTCGAAAGGGTGCGTTTTTACACGTTTACTTAATTTATCACGTTCACGTATCCCACGAATTAGATTGGTTGTGATCCAAGGCTTTAGTTTCTTATGCCTACTGGTTTTATATTTAGACTTCGTCGCTTGGCATTTAAGATGGTCAAAAGTACTAATAAATGCATCGCAGCAGAGATTAACATCCTGCAGAGCCAGAACATGGTCCCATGGCTGACGCTCAATCAGCTCTTGTAGCAATTTCTGGTCTGTGTAAGTGATTGTTTCGTTGTCATCTGTTTTTGTGTGTAGATTTTTAGAAGAACAGTATTCAAGTTTAGCAACAATAGCATAGTGGTCAGTAACATCTGTTTTAAGTATGCATGAGCTTATTGCGGAATAATCAAAGTGATTTACAAATAAATGGTCAATACAGGTCTCAGATCGTTCAGTTACTCTTGTCGGTTTGTTTATGTAATCAGTAAAGCCAACACTGTAAAGTATGTTTAAGTAATAGTCTTTTTCAAAAACATTTTGACAACTATGTAAAATGTCTATATTGATGTCACCAACAAAAAAGTAAGTAGTGTGTTTATTAACATTGCTGTAGTAGTTGTTTAGATCAGTTACGAATGAATGATAGTTCATAGATGGACTACGGTATATAGCTACTACATTAAAGTGCCTGTTATCAGTGTAAAAGTCTAATTGTAATCCCGTCGCCTCACCCATTGATATCTGTTGTGATGTTACTCCAAGTTCAGTTTTACAATACACAATTACACCGTCGTTTCTGTTCCAATGTATTTCAGTTGAGTACAAATCATATCCCTCCAAATCTGTCAAATTGTTTCCACATTCCAACCACGCTTCAGTAAGTACAATTAAGTCAAATTTTACTTTGAAGTCTTCAAGAAGAATTAATACATTATCTATATTTTTATTATAACTGCGAATATTGAAATGAATAACTTTTAAAAACCCCTCTGAGGGTTCTAAGGTAAACAAATCCGAAAATTGTCTATATGTATCAAACTCCATACAATCATTGTTCCTGTAGCTGTCAATACCAAGTATGTCATCGTCTCCGTCCATGTTAGCTGTCTGACACGCGCCAAGCCGTTATACATTACTACACACAAGGGATTAAAATAAAGCTAGAAATAAACATTGATAGCAAAATATTTAAAAAAAAAAAAAACAAAAGAAATCTAACAGAAAGTCTACTCTACTCTATTTTATTTTAACATTCTATGGCATAGATAAACTTATCGATCACATAAAATAGTTTTGAAATATTTCGGATACGGAATCAGATTATTTGAGGTATGCACAATCGCGGACGATTGCGATATCTAAATATTTTACTAATATAGAATGCTATGGAAAAAATGGAAAAAATGCACAACATCCAAAAATGTAGGGAACTTAGATTACTGTGTTGATTTAAAAATTTTTATCTGACTAACAGACCTATTTAGGAATGTTAGAAAATAATTAGAATAAATAAAAAGATTAGAAATACTCCTGTACCGTTATGCTGCTAACAACAAAATAGCCTAGATCGTTATATAGAAAAATAATATACTACTTAATTTTATTAATTCCAAACTAATTACATTATTATCAATACTGTACCAAAAATTTACTAACTTAATGGTGATGATAGATACTAATACTTGTATTGTAATGGTTACAGTTATATTCTAAGTATCCAGTAAAAAAAAATAATGAAACAAATTGCATCACCCCCGCTTTTGTGTACCTATAATATTATTCTCAAAATTTACAAACTAACTAAACCCAATCACTACATAAAAAACAAAAATAACGTTTATGGTTTAACTTTGATCATTATGTATGGAAAAGCCATAGAACGTGACATAAAACCAGTACCTCTATAGACGACTATAATGTTCACTTTTCACTTGCTTCATCCTCGGATTCTGAGAGGTCACCGCTGTACAGTGCGTCTAGGTCAGCCATCGTGTTGAGGAGTGTGGTACGACATCCAGGGTCTTCAGACTGTCTTGCGAACACTCTGCCATCTCTGGTCCAGGCGCGGGCGATTTTCTTGTGACGCACCAGCTTCCTGGCTCTGCTTAGGATTACTTTGTAGTGGAGAGTCAAGTGATCGTTTATATAAAAGGGTTTTGATGTCAAGTGCTGCAGAGATTGGTATTATTCAAACGGTTTCTATATTTACGAGCCTCCGTAACCCACAGTTGCTTGTAGTCACGGCACACGAACTTAATTATAATAGATGGGTTCGGCCTATCTCTTGTCACTCGAAGTCTGTGCGCAGTTGAAATCTCTGCCCGTGAGAATCTGACGTTGATGAGTCCGGCGATATCTTCAATAAGTTTGTATATATTCTCGTTGTCTTTGAATGTTACACCCACGATCTCGATGTTGTCTTTCCGAGAATACTGTTCTAATTCACACACACGCGTTTGCAAAGTACTTATAATTTTATCACTTTCCTCTTGTTTTTTCCCAATTGCCTTTACATCGTCCTTTAGTTTTACACTATCGACCGTTAGAGAGTTTAGAGAATCTTGCATATTTTTTATCGTATCATTGACTTCCATCAGTTGATCCCTAACAGTTTCAACATTGTCACTAACCTTAGACATTTGATCGCTTATCTTTGTGTCCATGTTTTGTAGCATTGCCGCGAGAGTAGAGTTGTCAACTTCAGCACGAGAGGGAGTAACGCAGGTGTCGCACTTCCACGTTGATTTCCGCTGTACACTAAACTTTTTAAAATTGTCAGCTCCAGCACGAGTACAAGATGGATGAAAGCTCAATTTACAGTCCACACACACCAACACTTCCTTGGAGTTCGCAATTTCCACGGAGCACTTGTCACACGAAGGCATATTTAAATTGAATAGTATACCAAATTAAACAAGAACGAATAAAATACTATGTGCCGACAATAAAATATTGTGAAGTTATTTACATAACAAAATTACACGGCACGACGATGCCCGGTAGCTAGACGGAGCGACGCAGGAAGCACACGTCCGTCCTCATCGGCAGCCAGATAAGAACTGATATCACTTAATTGATATTTAAGTGACTATATAATTTATTATATATTTTTGATGATTATTGCACCTAATTTTTTCGCATTGTTTGGACAGAACAAATAGCGATACAGTTCTTTCTTGTGTTTTTCTACGATAAGTACCGGTATAGTAATATTTACTTTCAATCTGTGTTCAAATATCTTACAGCATTGAAAACTGTGGGCCACTACATTATAGCGTTGACGAATAGAATAAGTATAGGACTGTCAAAAGAAGGTTCCACAATGGGCCGCTAGGAGTCCCCTGTAGTTATGGCACACACCACTGCAGGCGAGGAGCCGCTACCAGGAGACGCTGCAATGTTGTGCACCATAACTACACAACACTCCTAGTGGTGGACGCCGGCTAAGCTAACTGCAGAACTGCGGGCAGTCTATATTAATTCTATTTGTCTATGATTATAGTAAGGTTGTGTTGCTAGCCTAGTGGTTAGCGTCTCAGACTTCGGTGCTGGAGGGACGGGTTCAATCCCTGGCACATCCACTAATCTTTGATCTCTCGTAACTTCTCTTGTGAAATGCCACTGGCGTAGAAAAAAAAAGGTGTTACGATGTAACACATTATATTTTCTTTCAATAATTGTTTATTTACAGATATCAAAACATGTTCAGACTTTGATCAACTATTTGAAGTTACGCTGTGAGATTATTCGTTGTTCATTTTTTGTGATATTTTTAAAACAATTTTAGGCTGATTTGGTATGTTCTGTAAAATGTCCCTTTATATATTCATGCGATTTATTTTCAGGTATAAAAACATCTCATGACTTACGCTGTAACGAGCCAATTTTTTCAAGATACTTTTTACCTTCCTCCTTAAACCTTACGACTTTTTTCCGCCGTCCCCAATCAACTTCCGCCGCACCACACCACCTTTCCGCCGCCCCTAGTCAACTTCCGCCGCCTTACATCGCCTTCCGCTGCCCTACCGATCCTTCCGCCACGATCTCCGCCCATCTCCCTACCTCACGTCTCCTTTCCGCCGCCCCTAGTCCACCTCCGCCGCCCTACATCGCCTTCCGCCGCTCTACCGATCCTTCCGCCATGACCTCCGCCCATCTCCTTACCTTACGTCTCCTTTCCGCCGCTCCAATCAATGTCCGTCGCCCTACGTCACTTTCCGCTGCCCTACCGATCCTTCCGCCACGACCTCCGCCCATCTCCCTACCTCACGTCTCCTTTCCGCCGCCCCTAGTCAACTTCCGCCGCCTTACATCGCCTTCCGCTGCCCTATTGATCCTTCCGCCACGATCTCCGCCCATCTCCCTACCTCACGTCTCCTTTCCGCCGCCCCTAGTCCACCTCCGCCGCCCTACATCGCCTTCCGCCGCTCTACCGATCCTTCCGCCATGACCTCCGCCCATCTCCTTACCTTACGTCTCCTTTCCGCCGCTCCAATCAATGTCCGTCGCCCTACGTCGCTTTCCGCTGCCCTACCGATCCTTCCGCCACGACCTCCGCCCATCTCCCTACCTCACGTCTCCTTTCCGCCGCCCCTAGTCAACCTCCGCCGCCTTACCTCGCCTTCCGCCGCTCTACCGATCTTTCCGCCATGACCTCCGCCCATCTCCCTACCTCACGTCTCCTTTCCGCCGCCCCTAGTCAACCTCCGCCGCCCTACCTCGCCTTCCACCGCTCTACCGATCCTTCCGCCATCACCTCCGCCCATCTCCTTACCTTACGTCTCCTTTCCGCCGCTCCAATCAATGTCCGTCGCCCTACCGATCCTTCCGCCACGACCTCCGCCCATCTCCCTACCTCACGTCTCCTTTCCGCCGCCCCTAGTCAACTTCCGCCGCACCGCATCGCATTCCGCTGCCCTACCTATCCTTCCGCCACGACCTCCGCCCATCTCCTTACCTTACGTCTCCTTTCCGCCACTCCAATCAACTTCCGCCGCCTTACATCGCCTTCCGCTGCCCTACTGATCCTTCCGCCACGATCTCCGCCCATCTTCCTACCTCACGTCTCCTTTCCGCCACCCCTAGTCAACCTCCGCCGCCCTACATCGCCTTCCACTGCCCTACCTATCCTTCCGCCATGACCTCCACCAATATCCGTACCCTACGTCTCCTTTCCGCCGCTCCAATCAACTTCCGCCGCCTTACATCGCCTTCCGCTGCCCTACCGATCCTTCCGCCCCGATCTCCGCCCATCTCCCTACCTCACGTCTCCTTTCCGCCGCCCCTAGTCAACTTCCGCCGCCTCACCTCGTCTTCCGCTGCCCTACTTATCCTTCCGCCATGACCTCCGCCAATATCCTTACCCTACGTCTCCTTTCCGCCGCCCTACATCGCTTTCCGCTGCCCTACCGATCCTTCCGCCACGACCGCCGCCCATCTCCCTACCTCACGTCTCCTTTCCGCCGCCGCTAGTCAACTTCCGCCGCCCCGCATCACATTCCGCTGTCCCACCTATCCTTCCGCCACGACTTCCGCCCATATCCTTACCCTACGACTCTTTTCCGCCGCCCAAGAGCACCTTCCGCCGCTCCACGTCTCCTTCCGCCACCCGAAACCATCGATACCAATACCATTATGCCAGTTCCTGATCCTATCCGCCGAACCTAACCTCAATTTACATCCCCATTTGTTTCTATGTTAACTTTGGAACCGATCAGCTCTCCATGACAGCTGGGTTGCAACTGAGCAAAAACGCACTTCTGCGCATGCGCGACTTTCCCCCTCCAGGTGGACCAGATTTTCGCATAAAACCGCGGCAGCTGGGGACCTCAGTCTCAGTCGCTCCCGGGCAGTCGACAAGGAAACATCATTGGAGGTAATATTGCTAGAGAAATCCGAGCAACCTTTCCTATTGCTAGAGAAATCCAAGCAATCCGTCCCTATTGCTAGAGAAATCCAAGCAATCCGTCCCTATTGCTAGAGAAATCCAAGCAATCCGTCCTTATTGCTAGAGAAATCCAAGCAATCCGTCCCTATTGCTAGAGAAATCCGAGCAATCCGTCCCTATTGCTAGAGAAATCCGAGCAATCCGTCCCTATTGCTAGAGCAATCCGAGCAATCCGTCCCTATTGCTAGAGAAATCCGAGCAATCCGTCCTTATTGCTAGAGCAATCCAAGCAATCCGTCCCTATTGCTAGAGAAATCCGAGCAACCTTTCCTATTGCTAGAGAAATCCAAGCAATCCGTCCCTATTGCTAGAGAAATCCAAGCAATCCGTCCCTATTGCTAGAGAAATCCAAGCAATCCGTCCCTATTGCTAGAGAAATCCGAGCAATCCGTCCCTATTGCTAGAGAAATCCGAGCAATCCGTCCCTATTGCTAGAGAAATCCGAGCAATCCGTCCTTATTGCTAGAGAAATCCAAGCAATCCGTCCTTATTGCTAGAGCAATCCGAGCAATCCGTCCTTATTGCTAGAGCAATCCGAGCAATCCGTCCTTATTGCTAGAGCAATCCGAGCAATCCGTCCTTATTGCTAGAGAAATCCGAGCAATCCGTCCTTATTGCTAGAGCAATCCGAGCAATCCGTCCTTATTGCTAGAGCAATCCGAGCAATCCGTCCTTATTGCTAGAGCAATCCAAGCAATCCGTTCCTGAGTGCTAGAGCAATCCGAGCAACCCGTCCCACGTGCTAGAGAAATCCCAGCAATCCAAGTTTATCCTTTGGCTATGATGAGTCAGGGCCATTTGGGAATCTTGTGATTCATTGCCAATATTCTGAGCCAATTCCAACTCCTTTTAACATCGACCCCTGGAATCAAAAACCCAGCTACGACTTTGCTATCAAGGACAAGTGTGCAAGCAGCAAATCCGCTCCGTTCCGAAAATTCGTCACACATTTTGGCGCCCGAACAGGGACTCCGTGAGTCATCGATTCGTAGAAAAAGAATATCGAAAACACCTGGGAAAACAATTCGAATCCCTCGTTGGAAATGACGAAAGACAAATTGGACAACAATGATTTTCCTCCGCTCACTGCAAAGGAATCCACGGCTGACATCTTAGCGGCAGTCTTTTCCCCCGGAAAAAACAATGAAGTAACCCAAGTTGAAACCTCAACTACTCTTCCTGCCACTCTTAGCCAGGCTAGTCAACAGGACCAGCGTGTAAGTTGGGTATATCAATTGTCAAAGTCTCAAATTCAAGCTGAGCTGGAATCACGAAATTTAGACGCAAGTGGGAAGATGCAAGAGTTAAGAAGTCGCCTCGTCGAGCACATTCGAACTCCTGGTGTTACTCCAACGACGGAGAAAAATCAGTTACTTTTCCCCCCAGTGGACACGTTTGAAGGGGGGGCTTCAAACTCAAATCTGGACTCCAGCCTACTCAACAATATCATGATGATCGTTGGTTTACCCCCAAATTCTGAGGTCAACACCTTAAGAATGAGGCTCGCAGACCTCGCTGAGAAAGAAAGGTTTGTTCAGAAGGCATCAACATCCAACGCCTTTCCCGAACTTCAAAGATTTGTCAAGGAAAGAGCACCGCAAGAGTTGAAAATAAACCATCCTCCGTTTCCGGTGAAATTGAATTCAAACAACCAACCTCCCACGGATACGGCTAGTCTCTGCAATCAAGTAAGAAAGTGGAACATTCGTTTCGATGGATACACGGACCCCGTCTCATTTATGGAACGACTAAATGAACTAGTGGAAGCTTACGATATACCCCTAAATCGCATACTACAAGCGATGCCAGAAATCTTCAAAGGGAATGCCCTCCTCTGGTGGCGAAACAACAAGGAATTCTGCAGAAATTTCACTGAGTTTCAACGAGAATTTGAATTGCAGTTCCTACCTCCTGGCTATTACAAGAATTTAGATAGAGAAATACAGGATAGGACTCAAGGAGAACGGGAGACTTGTCGCCAATACGTTGTTGCAATCGTCACTCTAATTCGTCGTCGAGGAGGATATACTGAGGAAGACAAATTGGAAAAGATTTATGGGAACTTAAAACCTGAATATAAGCTGTATATTCGCCGTCATGACGTCAAGACCGTCTCTGAACTAATCGCTCGAGCTGAGGAATTCGAGGCAGTACTTCGATGTAGAGCAACTTATCGACCACCTCCTGCTCCTGCTCAATCATTGACCCCTGAAACAGCGTATCAGTCCAAAGGAAGAAGAAGATCGGACGTACATGGAGCTATTTACCTCGAGGAACTCCTTCCAGTACCGAACATGGAGCCAAAGAATGCAAACTACCCTGGCAAAAGCATGGAATCAAGGAACACGGACTGCAGTGGTAGAAACGGAAAACAACCATTTGTGAGGTTTGCCGATGGTGGGCGAGACCATCACAAGCCCAACATTTTCGGACCAACGCATTCGAAGTACGGTCCAGGAAATACCTTGCTACCTGAGGATAGCAAGACACCGGCAAGGGAGTCATATTCAAATGAAACCATACCACCGAGAGTCTGCTGGAATTGTGATAAGCTCGGCCATCTGTTTCGTGACTGTAGAAACCCACGGAGAATTCGCTGTTTCTATTGCAAGAAAGATGGACAGCTAACTACCACTTGCCCATGTCGCTCGGGAAACGTAATGCCGACTCTGAGGAAGGGAAGCCAGTAGAGTCGGAGACAACCAGAGAAACTTCCCCAGATTGGGAAAAGTGTTTACAATATGTAGAAAGCTTTCCCCTGAAAGCCACACCACCAACCCAAATTGTGGATGAACGGCCCTATGTTAATGTTGAAATCTATGGAAAAACCTTTACAGCGTTGATCGATACTGGGGCTATGTTAACTTTCATATCAGATGAAGTGGCGAGTCACTTAACTAGAAACTGTGTTAAGTTTACCAAACCGAACCTTAAAGTGCACCTGGCTAACAATAGCCAGGCAAAGGTTAAAGGAAGCTGTCAGTTTGAAACTATTATAGGTCAAGCTAAGTATCTATTTGAAGCGATACACGTAACCAATCTCTCAACTCCAGTAATATTGGGGATGGACCTCCTGAAGAAGCTGAACCTGATCTCAGTCAACCTGCCTAAGGTTAATCAAGCCCTAAACATACAACCAGTGAAACCAAATCTGGCAGAAATAAGCACTCTTACCAACGCCGAAGAAGTTAACTTTAAAGCCTTTTTGGACGAAGAACTCTCAAAGTTTGATAGCGTCCCGGGTCAAACTAAAATTGTCCAACATGAAATTCGGTTGAAAACTAGACATCCTGTTAAGCAAAGATATTATCCACGTAACCCCACGATGCAAGGAATAATGAAAACTGAAGTCGATCAGATGCTGGAGGATGGGATTATTGAGCCCTCGTCTAGCCCGTGGAGCTCTCCGGTGGTTTTGGTGAAGAAACCTACGGGAAAATATCGTTTTTGTATTGATTTCCGCAAAGTAAATGAGTTGTCAATCAAAGACGCCTATCCTTTGCCTTACATTAGTGGGGTCCTGGACAAACTCAAAGAGGCAAATTTCATCTCTACAATCGACCTAAAGAATGGATATTGGCAAATCCCACTACATCCAGATAGTAGGCCAGTGACGGCATTTACGGTACCTGGTTTAGGCTTATATCAATTTAAAGTAATGCCGTTTGGCCTACATTCGGCTCCTGCCACCTTTCAGAGACTCCTCGATACCATTATTGGACCCGATTTGGAGCCTAAGGCTTTCGCCTATCTTGATGACATCATTGTTCTGGGAAAAACTTTTGCCGAGCATCTAGAGCTCTTAAAGGAGGTGTTTCGAAGATTAAGGGCAGCAGGTCTTAAGTTAAACCCGGAGAAATGCCACTTTGGAAAAACTGAACTTCGATACTTAGGTCACATCGTTAACCGAAATGGAATCCAGACCGACCCGTCGAAAATTAAAGCTATGAAGGACTTCCCAACACCAAGAAAACCTAAGGACATCAAGAGTTTTTTGGGTTTAGTTTCATGGTATAGACGTTTTATTAAGGACTTCGCCAAAATCAGTGCCCCCCTTTCGGCCCTCTTAAAGAAATCAGCAAGGTGGGAGTGGAGCGAACGTCAACAGCACGCATTTGAACGGTTGAAAGAAGAGCTTACGAAAGCCCCAATACTGGCATGTCCCGACTTTAATGAGCAATTTGTTTTGCAAGTAGATGCCTCTGATTTTGGACTTGGAGCAGCGTTGACACAAAAACAGGGTGGTAAAGAAGTTACCATTGCTTTTGCGAGTCGCCTACTTTCCGATCAGGAGAAGAAGTTTAGTACCACCGAGAAAGAATGCTTAGCATTGGTATGGGGCATAAAAACCTTTCGTCCATACCTCGAAGGTTATCACTTCAAGGCTATCACGGATCACCAGGCACTAAAATGGCTGCTAACAATTAAAGAGCCATCAGGACGACTTGGACGATGGGTCTTGGAAATTCAGCAGTTCACCTTCGACGTAGTCTATCGGAAAGGTATCAACAATAAGCTAGCTGACGCACTTTCCCGAATCCCTGGGGAACCGAAACAGAACCTAGAACCGCTAAATGAAATGGTAGTAAGAAAAAATAACTCTAATCACGAGGTGGGGTCAGACCCCAAAGGAAATGTAAATATCCAAGGTAATATAGTGGATAAGTGGTATGACTCCTTGTCAGCAAAGATTGGGAAAGTACAGCTTGAGAACTACCGTATTCAGGACGGTAAAATCTACAAACGAATCACACGCAAAGGAAAGCTTTGTGATCCCGCCACCCTATGGAAACTTTGTGTCCCAGGGAAAGATCGAGCTTCAGTGTTAGGAGAAACTCATGACGCACCCACAGCTGGTCATTTAGGCATCCGAAAGACCGTAGCCAGAGTGGGACAAAGTTATTTCTGGCCAGGTTGGAAGAAGGATGTACTGGAATATGTACGCAAATGCCATATTTGCCAACTCCATAAGCCTGAACAAAAACCAGTCAGGGGTCAAATGTTTCTGCGGAACCCAGAAGGGCCATGGTATACCGTGGTTGCCGATCTTATGGGACCTTTTCCGAAGTCCTCTCGTGGTTTCACCTTTTTGCTAGTGATCCAAGATTCTTTTACAAAATGGATTGAAATCATACCCCTCCGAAATGCTACAGCAAAGGAGGTCAAAGATAAATTTAAGGAAGCCATCATACATCGTTATGGAACACCGGCAGTCATTCTAACGGACAACGGAACCCAATTTACATCAAACATCTTTAGTCAATTCACAAAAGAATGGCAAATTACGCACAAGTTGACTGCACCCTATTCACCCCAATCAAATCCAACCGAAAGATGCAATCGAGTTCTCAAAACAATGATCAGGCAGTACATAGTGGATAACCACCGCCATTGGGACAAACACCTAGGAGAGTTTCGTCTCGCCATAAACTCTGCGGTGCATGACTCCACAGGTTACAGTACGGCTTTCCTGAACTTCGGAAGAGAATTAAAATTACCCAATTCATTACTTCAAGTACAGTTCATCGAAGGAGAGGAGGCAACCCCGTCTAGACTGATTGGTGAGCGCAGCGAACGTTTCCGAGCCATAAATGAGTACGTAAAGCGGAATCTGAGTCAAGCTCACAAGAGACAAGCCAGTTACTACAACTTAAGAAGGCGACCAAACACCTTGAAGGTAGGCCAACAGGTTCTGTGCCGACGTCACGACCTCTCCGACGCATCGAAAGGTTTCACTGCAAAACTAGCACCGAAGTTTGACGGTCCCTACACCATTGTAAAAGGATTGGGGGTAAATATTTTTCACCTCAAGTCGGACAGTGGACGCACCATTCGAGCCCATGTAAAGGACCTCAAACCTTACCTGTCATAACTCCTCCACCTTTTGTCTCCCCTGCTCTAGCACAAACAACCAAAGAACACTAGCAAATTTTAAGTTTAACAAAAAAAAAACAAATCATTCTCGTACTGAAAATTAATATTTTTTTTTTATTTTCAGGTAGACACTTCTTTTTGGGACACACAAAAATGGAACCACTAACCAATGCAGATTTGGGAACTTTGGCAGAGGGAAAAGACTTAAATGACGGAGTGATAAACCATTTTTTCCATCTACTCCAGCGCCGTGGTCAAGAGAATGACGAGAAAAAGAAAGTGATGTCCTTCCCGACCCATTTTTTTGTGCGGTGGGACCGAGAAAATGCGGGGTATGAAGGTGTGGCATCGTGGGTAAAAGAAAATCCAATGATTAAGGACATTTTGTTCTTCCCAATACACGTAGATGTAGGGAACGGGCATTGGGCCCTGATAGTGGCACGGCCACAGCACCGAGACATCGTATCATTCGACTCTTTGGGGTTAGAGCATAACCGGAGGATGGAGCAAGTAAAAGAGTTCCTCGAGAAGGACACCCGAAAACGAAAAAGGAAAAGTTCACAAACATCTTGGTCTACGTTGAACATGCTCACCGCTTGTCCGCAACAAAAAAATACCCATGATTGTGGCGTTTTCGTCTGCCTTTTTGCTGATCTGCTGATGAGGGAACAATCCTTAAAAACCTTACAGACCTTGACTTCCCGAGAATTGCGAGAAATTCTAAAAAGAAAAATTAAATGGATGGGGCTAAACCAAAAGAAGCTTCCACAAAAGAAGAAGCAACAACCACGAGTCGTAGCTAAGCAACCAATCACCAAGGGACCACTGTTTGACAAGTGGGTGAAAAGACCGAGTACACAGAAGTCACCAATCGTAGGCAGCAACCGAGAGGGAAATGTTTTTAGTTGAAGAAGCAACCGTCGAGGCGTTGGACGCTACCAAGTTTTTGGAAATCGTGTTAAGTCCCGTATTAGAAATCGCCGCATCACCCGACCTGCTAATGGAGGAGATGAACGAGTATCTGGCGGACGAAGAAATTGATGACGGCCTCTTTCCCCAACCCCCGTCAAGACCGTCCTCTGTGTCAGAAATGGTGTCACGGATGGGAATATGTTCACCCCACATTTCCCCTCCCGTCAGATGTGACAGCGCCCCGGCAGTTTCAAGTGGCCCCATCAGTGTGGGAAAATCAACTCCTGAGGAACAAGAAAATCCCGCCGTCTTTTTGGAAAGACCAAAACCCGAAACGACCAAAATTGTAGATTCAAAAATAGACATTGGGCCCGCAACCGGGAACACACGGCAGCAACCCCGGAAGAGAGGCCGAACCCTCAGGCAGAGAGTCTTTGTAAATGGGAGATTCATCCGAAAAAATAAAAGAAAAATTCAAGCTCTCGTTAGGAACCCCGATTTCGACTGGGACTCCCTACAGAAGTAAATTGACGTTCGAATGACCAAAATTGGTATTTCTAAGACTGATTAAACGAAAAGACTGAATTTTATAAAGTACTCGTAGTTTTAGGTTTTTCAAAAAGGTTCCTTCTTGTGTTAATGAAAAGTCTGTGATTTTTGTAATTTTGTTTCCGCTTAGCAACGGTGATATAGGTTTTGTGATAAAAAAAAATTTAGTATTAAGTTTTAAACGAAAATGTCTGTTTAGTTAAGAAAAGTCCAAAGTTTTTTTATTTTCGTAAAACCAAAAGGTATTTGTATATATATTTAGATTTAAGTTTTTCTTTAAAGTTGAATGTTTTTTTTTGTGATACAAGGTTGTGATTTTTCGTTTGTTATTCTCTTTTAGAATAGAAATTTTTTAGTTTTGTTTAAGAAAAGGAAAATTGTTTTCGTTTGAAAAAAATAAAATCGTTATTTTGTTGTAAATTGTTTTTTTTTTCTTTTTGTGAAGAAAGTGGTGAGTGTAACGAGCCAATTTTTTCAAGATACTTTTTACCTTCCTCCTTAAACCTTACGACTTTTTTCCGCCGTCCCCAGTCAACTTCCGCCGCACCACACCACCTTTCCGCCGCCCCTAGTCAACTTCCGCCGCCTTACATCGCCTTCCGCTGCCCTACCGATCCTTCCGCCACGATCTCCGCCCATCTCCCTACCTCACGTCTCCTTTCCGCCGCCCCTAGTCCACCTCCGCCGCCCTACATCGCCTTCCGCCGCTCTACCGATCCTTCCGCCATGACCTCCGCCCATCTCCTTACCTTACGTCTCCTTTCCGCCGCTCCAATCAATGTCCGTCGCCCTACGTCGCTTTCCGCGTCCTACCGATCCTTCCGCCACGACCTCCGCCCATCTCCCTACCTCACGTCTCCTTTCCGCCGCCCCTAGTCAACTTCCGCCGCCTTACATCGCCTTCCGCTGCCCTATTGATCCTTCCGCCACGATCTCCGCCCATCTCCCTACCTCACGTCTCCTTTCCGCCGCCCCTAGTCCACCTCCGCCGCACTACATCGCCTTCCGCCGCTCTACCGATCCTTCCGCCATGACCTCCGCCCATCTCCTTACCTTACGTCTCCTTTCCGCCGCTCCAATCAATGTCCGTCGCCCTACGTCGCTTTCCGCTGCCCTACCGATCCTTCCGCCAAGACCTCCGCCCATCTCCCTACCTCACGTCTCCTTTCCGCCGCCCCTAGTCAACTTCCGCCGCCTTACATCGCCTTCCGCTGCCCTATTGATCCTTCCACCACGATCTCCGCCCATCTCCCTACCTCACGTCTCCTTTCCGCCGCCCCTAGTCAACCTCCGCCGCCTTACCTCGCCTTCCGCCGCTCTACCGATCTTTCCGCCATGACCTCCGCCCATCTCCCTACCTCACGTCTCCTTTCCGCCGCCCCTAGTCAACCTCCGCCGCCCTACCTCGCCTTCCACCGCTCTACCGATCCTTCCGCCATCACCTCCGCCCATCTCCTTACCTTACGTCTCCTTTCCGCCGCTCCAATCAATGTCCGTCGCCCTACGTCGCTTTCCGCTGCCCTACCGATCCTTCCGCCACGACCTCCGCCCATCTCCCTACCTCACGTCTCCTTTCCGCCGCCCCTAGTCAACTTCCGCCGCACCGCATCGCATTCCGCTGCCCTACCTATCCTTCCGCCACGACCTCCGCCCATCTCCTTACCTTACGTCTCCTTTCCGCCGCTCCAATCAACTTCCGCCGCCTCACCTCGTCTTCCGCTGCCCTACTTATCCTTCCGCCATGACCTCCGCCAATATCCTTACCCTACGTCTCCTTTCCGCCGCCCTACATCGCTTTCCGCTGCCCTACCGATCCTTCCGCCACGACCGCCGCCCATCTCCCTACCTCACGTCTCCTTTCCGCCGCCGCTAGTCAACTTCCGCCGCCCCGCATCACATTCCGCTGTCCCACCTATCCTTCCGCCACGACTTCCGCTCATATCCTTACCCTACGACTCTTTTCCGCCGCCCAAGAGCACCTTCCGCCGCTCCACGTCTCCTTCCGCCACCCGAAACCATCGATACCAATACCATTATGCCAGTTCCTGATCCTATCCGCCGAACCTAACCTCAATTTACATCCCCATTTGTTTCTATGTTAACTTAGGAACCGATCAGCTCTCCATGACAGCTGGGTTGCAACTGAGCAAAAACGCACTTCTGCGCATGCGCGACTTTCCCCCTCCAGGTGGACCAGATTTTCGCATAAAACCGCGGCAGCTGGGGACCTCAGTCTCAGTCGCTCCCGGGCAGTCGACAAGGAAACATCATTGGAGGTAATATTGCTAGAGAAATCCGAGCAACCTTTCCTATTGCTAGAGAAATCCAAGCAATCCGTCCCTATTGCTAGAGAAATCCAAGCAATCCGTCCCTATTGCTAGAGAAATCCAAGCAATCCGTCCTTATTGCTAGAGAAATCCAAGCAATCCGTCCCTATTGCTAGAGAAATCCGAGCAATCCGTCCCTATTGCTAGAGAAATCCGAGCAATCCGTCCCTATTGCTAGAGCAATCCGAGCAATCCGTCCCTATTGCTAGAGAAATCCGAGCAATCCGTCCTTATTGCTAGAGAAATCCAAGCAATCCGTCCCTATTGCTAGAGAAATCCGAGCAACCTTTCCTATGTCTAGAGAAATCCAAGCAATCCGTCCCTATTGCTAGAGAAATCCAAGCAATCCGTCCCTATTGCTAGAGAAATCCAAGCAATCCGTCCTTATTGCTAGAGAAATCCAAGCAATCCGTCCCTATTGCTAGAGAAATCCGAGCAATCCGTCCCTATTGCTAGAGAAATCCGAGCAATCCGTCCTTATTGCTAGAGAAATCCAAGCAATCCGTCCCTATTGCTAGAGCAATCCGAGCAATCCGTCCTTACTGCTAGAGAAATCCAAGCAATCCGTCCCTATTGCTAGAGCAATCCGAGCAATCCGTCCTTATTGCTAGAGAAATCCAAGCAATCCGTCCTTATTGCTAGAGCAATCCGTCCTTATTGCTAGAGCAATCCGAGCAATCCGTCCTTATTGCTAGAGCAATCCGAGCAATCCGTCCTTATTGCTAGAGCAATCCGAGCAATCCGTCCTTATTGCTAGAGCAATCCGAGCAATCCGTCCTTATTGCTAGAGAAATCCGAGCAATCCGTCCTTATTGCTAGAGCAATCCGAGCAATCCGTCCTTATTGCTAGAGCAATCCGAGCAATCCGTCCTTATTGCTAGAGCAATCCAAGCAATCCGTTCCTGAGTGCTAGAGCAATCCGAGCAACCCGTCCCACGTGCTAGAGAAATCCCAGCAATCCAAGTTTATCCTTTGGCTATGATGAGTCAGGGCCATTTGGGAATCTTGTGATTCATTGCCAATATTCTGAGCCAATTCCAACTCCTTTTAACATCGACCCCTGGAATCAAAAACCCAGCTACGACTTTGCTATCAAGGACAAGTGTGCAAGCAGCAAATCCGCTCCGTTCCGAAAATTCGTCACAACGCAAGTTTTGTTCAGT